TGTCTGAAGATTTCGTTATGAACATGCTCTGTTGTACTGTAAAAAATCCCACTCGAAAGCTTTCCACACACAGATACGTAGGTCCGAGCTTTTTCTTTGAGAATTCATAGCATTGTGGTTCCACGGCGTGGCCCTGTAACCGTGGTGAAGTGTGTGTCTATGAGCGTGCTGTGTGTAACCATGAGCGTCTGGTTGTTTAGGGGCATACCAGAGCGTGACTGTACGGGAGAGACTGTACATCTATGCCTCAACTAGGCTACAACATTCATGAGCGCGTGAGCATGGGTGTGTATGCATGCGGAGGTCATGCATACACACCCATGACGGATGGTGAGGTCATCCGTCACTCCTCTGAATGGGGTTTGCGCACAATAAACTTGTAGCTGAGCCCAGCAATGGAGATGGAGTGCACTGTCAGCCGGCCAGGATTTATGGAGGCCGATTCAGCTGATGGGTGCTGGGAAAAGCTATCTGATAAAGGGTGATTAATCGCCCTTACATCCCACTTTATATCCTGCTTTACTCCCTCTCCAAAATAGATTAAATGCAGCCATAATTATTTCAGAAGGAGTCTTAATCCCATGCACTTTCGCTTACAGGTGGGAATTCTTTCATTTTTCATCGAGTGGAGGTGAGAGGAGGGAGAGAAGTAGGAACACCTGGAAGAAAAAATGCAAAGGTGGAGGCGTGGATATAAACTGCACAGTAGACCTCAGCCGCAAGGAAGATTCATATAGTGAAGAAGAAGGTGTAAACAAACCAACCTTCTATCCCTCTATCCATCTCTCCCTCCCCCTGGGAGACAGGAAGGCATATGGTGTCGTTTAGGCTTGGCAAACTTCACTGGTGCCTTTAAAAACCTCCATGTTTTCTAATACTTCTATCCATATGAGGACCAGAGCTAACTGACTAAATGTTTACAACAAACACTAAACACAGACCTGAGGCCTGTACCACGAAGCAAGTTCAACAGACCCAGGATAACTTTTAGTTATCTGGCTTGACTGGACCTAACACTGGCCGTCCTGATAACCTGTACTACGAAGCTGGTTATCAACTTGTTCAGTTAACTCTGGGTTTACCTGTCCAGCTACGAGCGCGTTCATGTGAAAGAGGCCGAGTTATTAATTATAAGCAACATCGTCTGAACCATGAATGAAGTACCTAATATGATATGAGAAGACACGATGATACTTGCTGGTAAGTTCGGTTTATAGCAATGTCCAAAAGTGCAATTCAACAAGGTGAAATGTGAACAATATGATCATATGACTGGAATAACAAATATTATTTTGATGTCTAAATATAATTTCTATTAAAGTCAGACTAAAGATATATTGTGAATAAGTGTATGAATTATCATTACGTTTGAGTATTTTCACTCTTTTGTTCTGAACATGTGAAGAAGATAAAACAGTTTCTGCTGTCAGACTGTTTGTGCTGCAGAGAGGAGAGAGAGAAAAGAGGAGAGAAGTAGTTGATGTCTGATGAGTCAGACTGACTGAAATGTTTGTTTATAATGATGGAAATAATTAACAGTGTGTGGATCATTGTTCAAATCAAAGACATCAGAGGTTTCGATTTTTTTTCCAGTTGTGGTCACAGAGTCTGATCATGTTATTCTGAGCTGCAGTGAGTGAAGCTATAATAGTTATTATAAAGGCTTTTTATTTAACATGATAAACTCTGCATTTTTTAGAAGCTCTGTTTTAAAACCACATGGAAAGACTCAAACAGGAAAACTATTCCACTGATTTTATTTTATATTTTATATCTACTGCTCGATATTATTGATCACTTTATTGTAAACTCTTTTGTCCCTGTCAGGATCCTGTAGGAATGATGACTCCATTTTTCCAGTGATCTGATTGGTCAGTAGTTTGGCTGTCGACAGGCTTTGATCTGATCCTCTAAGTTAACCTGCGCTGGAGCAGGTTAGGAGTTCAGCGTAAGTTACCATGGTGATTTACCTCGGTAACAAGCGAGCCACCGTCGTAAGACTGAAAACCCGCACTTATACCTGAAGTTACCTTGATAACCTCTAATCCTGCTTCGTAGTACAGACCTCTGCTCAGTTACTCAAAGTCACTGTAAATGCCTTAAATGAAATATATTGATACATATTTGATGAGACATGGATGGACGTCACATCCACATGTATGATAAATGAATAATGTTTAAGGTTACAGTTCAGTGTTCAAAAATTTGAATTATACTACAGCTGCTGCTGTAGCTCAGACGAGCTCTACTGCTTCATTCAGTCCTGGGAAATCTCTGCTTAAGATAATAGACTACAAAAGAGAATGTTCTTTGCTGAACTTAATATTAGTCACACAACCAAACACTGTCAGCTCACCAAAGTTCAATCCTTTCATTAAAAAGGCCTCTTGGACTAATAAAAATATGGGAAGTTGTTCTTAAAAAAACATTAAACCTTTGACATGAGTCCTTTCATGCAGCTTTCACTTTGCTGAAATAATCTGTTAAATTGCATTCCTGTACAGTAGTTAAAAAAAAAAATTAAACAGGCAAATGAAAATAAATAAATAATAAAAAAATAAAAAGAGAGAAACATATGACATATTATTTTCTTTCCATCATTTGAACAGTGGAAAATGTCAGTGTTAACCAAATCAGCAAGATGAATAAAATGTTCTTTTTTAAAAAAAAAGAAAAAAGAAAAAGAATAACCTTAAAGCTAATATTGTTGAAAATATTTCTGTTTAATTTCTTTGAAACTTGTTGCTGTGTAAAATGTTTGTTGCTCATTCATTGCTGCTGTGAAACTCAAAATGAATCTACCACCTGTCCTGTTTGACAGATGCACTGAATGTCTGCTACAGCAGCAAAGTACAAAATGTAAATATCAAATACAAAAAATTTACAAAACACAAATAATAGATAAATAATATAGTATAGCAATAAAGTGTGTACAAATAGATATCAAAAATATGTTAATATGTCAAAAATAACAGCAGAAAAGGAATGTTGCGCAGTTGGTGTGTTAATTATTAAACATGAGTTTTGATAATTTTCTGTGAAGTCTTCAAAATCAGATTAAGAAGGACTGACATTTCTTATCATAAGTTAACTGCAGGTGATTGATACAAGGCCATAATCAAAAGAGCTGTACTTTTGAACATGTTTGGGAATAGGCCCAATCAGATTTTCACTACATGATCATCCTCGCCAAAAGAATTCTTGATCATGACATAATTGCGATATCTGTAGAAAATTACAAAATTAAAGAAAAAACAAAACACTATTAGTCAAATTCATCTTAAACTTTGTTTTTTTTTTTGTTTTTGGCAAATGAGTTAGACTGAACTGTGTAAATGTAAATGTGTCAGGAGGTGGAGAGAGTCTGTGACCATAACGGTACAAAAAGAACAACTACACTTAATGGACAGTGAAAAGGAGACTAGATGAACTGATAAACTGAAGATCCACAAGCCGAACATCTGCCATCATCATATTATCATATGTGTATTATTAACACAACATCAATCTTTCAAAACCAGTTGAGACAATCAGACTGTGGTAGAAGAAAGACAAAAAGAGAAAGAAAGAAAGACAAGAAAGTAGGAAGGAAAGAAGGAAGGAAGACAATCCCAGCTATAACAGCCGTGTCTGGCAAATGTGCTGCTGCTGTGTGGGTTTGAATGTGCAGGTCAGGAGGTGTTGAGGAGGTTAATGAGCCAGAGAGACACTTATTCAGGTAAAATGGCTGGATTATTGCTTTTAAAGTACTACTTACTGTGTATGTAAATTGAATTTAGGTTTAGGAGGATCGAGAATGGATGTAATAAAAATATAGACTACTGTTAAACTAGCTAGTGTAACAGTGGTGTTACACAGTATGTGTGTGTGTGTGTGTGTTGTGCTGTCGGACAGATGGAGCAGGTGTTTGTCCTGTCTGTGGTTCAGTATTGGTTGAATGTAAAGAAACACATAGCACAGCGTCTGATTGGTGATACAGGGATTAGAGGAAGGCGTCTAGAGTTGCTGTTTGGTTGTGTTGGTGGATGGAGGGATAGATGGTGGGATGGAGGGACAGAGGAGGAAAAGCAGGAAGAGGAAATAAAAGAGATGGATGGCCTCCCTCTGTCAGGGCGGTTATTTAGAGGAGAGCTATAAAGCTGTCGGTGGAATGAACAGATTTCAGACTAATGAGCAAAAAGGAGAAGCGGACAGTCTCAGCACTTCAAACCGAGCTGTTAGTAGGCCTACACACTAATCGTGATTAGTGCATTAGCATGCTAGCACAGCTCTGAGAGTGCTAGTGTTTGTGTGGAGTTGTCAGCTAAGACCTAAAGCTAAAACTACGTCTGTCAAATGAGCTTTTGGTTGATTAAAGTGACTTTTGTAATCACTGTTCAGGGAGGGCCAGGCACTGGCAGACACTAAAATTTACAGATGTTCCCTGAATGCCTCAAATGCAGGCAATGGTTAGATGCTTGCTACAGCACACATCATAGTTGTCACTGTAAAATGTGTCAAAATGAAGGGTCATCAGGAGCCCCTTTTCCTCTTAGGGGCCCCAAACATTTGCCAGGTTTGCCTGTGCTGACAGCACACCTCTGTGTGTGTGTGTGTGTGTGTGTGTGTGTGTGGTGACCTGTGAAAGATTATTTTCCAAACTGAATTTAAAGGGTCATACTTGGGAAACTGCGTGAAAAAGTTAGAATATATGATGATATACTCAGCCCCCACTCAGCACGACAACCGAAGTGTTTCCAAGGGAGACAAAAAAAGTGATGAACCCAGCTGGGACGCACTTACATGAATTCATTAAAATGCATGTATTATAACACATTCATGTGCACTTGTTGTTGAATGCTTTTAACTTCAAAAGTCACAAAGTCCATCACTTTTTAGTGTCCCCTGGAAACACTTCCGTTGCCCGTCGGTGCTACTTGCAGCACATTTGTGTGTTTGGTTGTGTCGTGAGTATTTGCTAAAACGTGTGCTTCTTTACAGTACTGTGTGTGATTCTTTACCTGCATAAAATTCGGGTCCATATACTGCTCCAACCACTGGATTCAGCTTCCAGCCTGCACAGGAGACACGCACACACACACACACACACACACACACACACACACACACACACACACACACACACAATGGATGTTAGCATTTCTGCACTTGTATCAGTCTGAACCTTCTCTACAGAATTATTATGCTGTTGTCCTTTCCCTTTTAAGATACAAATTTTTTAATACTAATACTGTATGTTTTCATATGTTGCATGAAAATGCTAAATTTGAATTTAATGCTTTGTAGGATTTTACAATAACTTTGCGGGCTGACAGTTACATCCTGTGTATATCCACAAAACAAGTCCCCTTGTTTTATCAGAAAAAATTTACAAAATTCTTCTTCTTCTTCTCCTCCCCTTCTTCTTCTTTCATTCACAGGTGTGTGTGTGTGTGTGTGTGTGTGTGTGTGTGTGTATGTGTGTGCAGGTTTGGGGCCTGATGACAGTGAAAAATGGAAAACCCTTCAGGGCTGATACTCTCTGTCTCTGCACCCTCAAACAGGATCTGTGTGTGTGTGTGTGTGTGTGTGTGTGTGTGTGTGTGTGTGTGTGTTTGGCCATTTAATTCCCTCCCTTGTTCATCCATCCCCTCCCCCTCTTCCCTTCTTTTACTTCTCACAGCCTCCATCATTCCCTCCCTCTCTGCCTCCATCTCCAATCCATTCCATCCACATGAATGAGTGTCTGTGAGAGGGATGGGGGAGAGAGACACACCCTAAAGGCCCCTCTCTCCCTCTTTACCAGTGACTCCTGGCTCTTTTTATTGGCTCTTTTTATTTACCCATTCACTCTCTCGTCCATCTACCAAATACCCCCCCCACACACACACACTTTAAATCCCCTCCTCCGTCTCCAGTCATCCTCTTTCTCTGCTGCCCTTTTCCCTTTACCCTGTAAGAAAAGATTCCACTTTGCTATTTGCATGATATTTCAAACCAAATCGACTGCCTCTCTGACAAATATTGATTTCATTAATCAAATGTGAACAACTCTTTTTGTGTTGAGGCAGAATCTGCTGCCCCGGCTTCCATTTGCAGCTTTTGGTTTCCTTTCCATTCACAGTGCAGGCTCAATGGCTGGAGTTGGATCATAATGATTTACTTCTTCTCATAAATGCAGCCATGATGCTCTGACACTGGCAGTGAAATGAAATAATGAGCAAGAAAACTAGAGAGTAGGGACAACATGTGAAACAAATGAGGAGGAGAAAAAGGCACAAGAGTGGGAGAAATTACAGGAGAGGAGCAATTAGAAGAGATGAAAATAAATCTGAAGTCTCACCGTTTGTGTAAGGGTTCGCCACCTTTTTGTTGGTCATTACTCTGGCTGTGGCGTTGTTGACCTGTCAGCAGACAGACAGAGATTAATGTGAGAGCCGATACACAACGACGACAACAATACACACACATACACACACACAAGCAAAAACTCCGCATAGAGAAGATAATCCACATGGTAACAGCTCTCCATGCCATGCTGGAATTTGAGGCAACATGCAGCGAGTCAAAGGTCTGACGTTCAACAACGTAACATTCAAGATCGAATCCTCCAACCTGAATGACCACATATGTCATTTGTCCTGACCGGCTGATATGAACCATAGGAGCGTTTCCTGAATGAGCCACAAATACACTGTTAAAAATAAATAACTAACTCTTTTATGATGTGACAATGTTATGGCAAAGGTTTAGCTAGTCTAGGTTTAGGGAGGGATCAGGGTTTTGCTTGAAATAAGCACTTCGTTGAGTTTAGACCACATTCGTCGACCAATGTTTTGTTGATCCACCCACCCTGACCAACTCTGTATATGGACTTCTGCCTTTGCTCCCATTATAACATGGGACATATCATTTTTTCTCTATTTGCTGAAAAGACTGATGCTGTCACACACAATGTCATTCAATACTTAACTATAGTTCATAATAAGCTGCTTGCACAAACAGCTTATGGGGTCTATTTTCTTATGGGAGGACAGTCAGAGAAAATTCAAAACATTATGTAAAAACTAAAATGAATGCACACAGACAGTTTGCAGTTTGAAGTGCAAAGTTACACAAGATTTCAACTATTTCAATTTAAGATAGTCCAGTTTTGGAGGTTTTCTCACAATGTCATTTCTCAGAATAACCTCTGAAGGAAGTACGACCTATATCCATCTTGTCTGCTCTGATACACACACTGTGGGAACTTCCTTGCTATTCAGCATTGTACTGTACTTGACTTTTCCACTTTCCCAGTCAGCTTGATTTTGATGATTTGCAGGTAAAAAGATGTCGAGGCTCGATGTTAAACTTGGGACACATTTGGCTGAAAAGTGGGTTGATTAGCAGAGAAAAAAAAAAATACAGTGAGTTGCAAATCCCTGTGTTGCCTCCGTTACATTCATTTGAATGCTATGCCTCCTGATGCTACCTACAGTAGATGTGAAGCTTAGATCGCACTGTATTTTACACGTTTACTCATACACAAGCCCTACGCAGAGTTAACCCTGCCTGCAACTTTGTCTCCATATGCCGATAATTTTGCAACAGTAAAGATGTTCTGGGGGAAACATGTTTGTTAATATTTGTAATGTTAAAATGTCCAACTTTGCAGCACGTGTTCACATTTTAGGAAGGCTTAAAGTTATATAGGACTGAGTGTGTCACTCTGAATGTCAGGTGGGTGCTGGGGTGCTGATAACAGTTGGGTAGCTGTCTCCTCGGCGTCACAGCAGCTAATTCGAGTCACTGAACGTGACCACGTTTGTGGTGTTGGTGCCTTTTGGAGGACTTTTTTCATGCAAATATCAGACAGATAATATACTTGCCGGTCAACTGAGTAACAGCAGTAAAATTCTAGTTCACTCACCACACCTGGCTTGTTAGCTTCATTAACTAGCTAACTAGCCAGCAAATGAATTAACCTTAAGTTAGCCTCTGAGCAAGGCGCCCAGATGCCCAGGAGTACTAACGAGGCTAACGAGAGTGTATGCTTGCCACAGGCATGCAATGAAGTCTTGGCTCCACATACGCCCCACCTCTTGGCAGATTTTTGGATTAGCCGGGAGGTAGGTGGAGTCAAGCACTGCCAAGACGGTGACAGCAGAACAGCCCATTCTGAGCTTCAAAATGGTTGATGTCACAGAGTCTAAGTCCGTCTTCATTTACAGTCTATGGTCTAAACCTGACCACACACAGAACCCTAGTTTCTGGGATCAAAGTCCTGTGATTTGTACACCCACCATCCACCCAGACCCTTCCCTTTCCTCTGTTAGATGAACCCTAATGAGTTAAAATAGTAAAAATGAAAGAGGAAAACATGTTGAGTGGACAGATAAAAAGATTATACTCCCCATGAAACGGGATCATCAAAATAGAGTCAACAAATTTTATTAATGTGTATGCGCACACTGGCAGAGTGTCATTTGGAAGGAGTTCATTTTAAACAAATGATGTTTGACTCAAATCAAAAACCACTGCACTGCACTGTACATGCCACACACACAGGACGAAATCCATCATAAGCAAAGCAGAATTCAACATGTATGCAAAAACTAAAACAAACAAAAAACAAACAAACATTGCAGCACACTCACATACCACTGAATAGATCTGTCTTTCTCTTTGTCACACACACTTACGGATCAGGGTTCGGCATGCAGTGTTCAAGGTGCAGCAGGCAGGTGGGAGAGAAGAAATAAATGTAGGAAGAGAGGGAAGGGAGGGAGTACTGCAGGAAACGTCAGGCGAGCAGAGAGAGGAAAGAGAGAGTCAGGGGGAGGAGAAGGGGAGTCAAAGAAGTGGAAGAGGGGGGAAGTAAGGAAAGTCAGGAAAAGGAAGGCACCTCTATTTTCCGTCCTTCTACGATTGTACCATTTAGTTTCTCCCGTGCACGATCAGCATCTGCACTCGTTTCAAATGTTACAAACCCAAAGCCCTGCAGTGGCAAGGAGGTGGGGTTGAAAATCAAGTGAAAAAGGAAAGGAGTCCAGAAATGAAATGATGAAACAAACAGGGGGGAGGGGGGGGGGAGAAAAAGACACAAAGCACAGATGAGAGAGCCGCAGGTCAGGAGGACGTCTAAGCCAGAGAGACGTCCGGCTGGTTAGACAAACATGAGAAACAGCTGGAGTTACAGCAAGGAAAGCTGCCAACACAGGACATCAAACCAAACACAGCAGCTCTGATCATACATATATATATATATGTATATATATAAATTAAATCACATTATAAATAAAATTACCACCTCATCAGTGTGTGTATGTGTGCATGCTTTTTAAAAAATTCTCTGCTCCTTCTAGTACCACAGACTCTGTTACAGAAACAACTGGACCTAACTGAATTAGCAGATGAAATGAAAGCCTCCACACACACAATGGAGTTTGAGATGTGCGTGTGTGTGTGTGTGTGTGTTTGTGTGTGTGTGTGTGTGTGTGTCTGCCGTAAGGTGCAGTTGCTCTGCTGGTGTGCAGAGGCCCCTGTGGGAGAGCAGATAAGTGCCACACAATTACAATCTCCACGGGATCAGTCAGTCGTGACTCTCTGAGCCCCAGGACGCAGCTCGCTCATGACACCCTGTCTGTCGGCCTGCGTCTCAGACTGGGCCTGGAGATACAGCTCGCTCAAACAGCCCATAAGTGGGTAAAACATGGCTTCAAATCCTACTACACTGCAGAGACCTGATCTATCTATGTGAGTGAGCTCAACGCAGGTGGAGAGTAAGAGCTGAAAACTCCTCTCTGCTATCACTGATCGTCGCCTGCATGATCAGAAACCTTCACATTCATATTATGTGTCAATTAAATGGGTGTTTAATAGGTCTACAAGTCCTTGCTGAGGACATCCGACCTCATAACAATACAAGTACACGATGTTGTCTAGCAGTCCAGTGACCCGTTAAAATTCCTTTCATTGGCTTATGACAGCGATAGGCCTAAATACAAAATAAATAAATAAATAAATAATAATGAAAGGAAACATTTTAAAATCTGTAGAACATCATTTTAAGACATTTTAAAAGATTATTATTTTTTTTTATAATTACATTATAATGTATTCATAATATATATTATTTTCAATAAAATTGTTCTATTTTGCAAATGATTCGTCGGCCCTCTTGCAATGCCACGGCCCACAGGTTGGGAACCACTGGTCTATGACCACAACCACAGTACAAGTTGTTTTCAGCTATTACGGCTCCAGTGTGGCTCCTGAGCCCGTTCACTGTGGCCCATCGAAGTGGCATCTGCTAAGACTGAGAGTTGAGAAAGTGTAACTCTTCTGAGGAAAGATGAGGCCTCTAGTTTCACAGCAGTAAAGTGGTGGCAACTGAAGCTAATGCTGCTACAAGGTTTCAATACTGCTGATAACATCAGAGTAATGTTAGAAACATCAAGAAGAATGTAAAGCAGGTTGTTTTCAGTGCAAAGTTAGTACTTGTTGACAACATATTCTATGTATAATGCTTTCATTTTTCATGCAGACCATTTAATCATGTGACACCTCCTTCTGCTTCCATGGCAGAGAATACTATATATATATATATATATATACAGTATATATATATATATATGTAACTATAATGATCATAATCTGTATGCAAATGGAAATGAGACTGGTTTAATAGGCAACCTTAGGAAAGTATCTTTGACAGTGTAGTTATATGTGCATTTCCTAAATTTAAAGGAGCTATTTGTAGGTTTTTGCTATTGCTACATAGCTAACGTTAGCATTAACAGCGGTTTACATACCAGTCTAGAGGAAACATTGTAAGTTTAGCATCAAACTTTGCTCCTTTAGTTGCCAAGAGCTGTCTCCAGAGGTGGAATGAAACCCTTGTGTGTTGCTTCTATTTCTATTACTTCCTTTCTTCTACTGAAGTTAAAATGCTAACCAGCTAGCCACGGTCCAGTCAGCCCGTCTCGTCACTTTCTGATACCGAGTCACTGTAGCGTCCACTCTGCTCTCGATAAGTAGTACTGCTCAGTGATGTTGTAAATGCAATGATGGCTGAAGCTCTTGGCAAGACTCCTAAGTAAAGTTGTTAATGCTAACGCTGGCCATTTAGCAATGACAAAACTTACAAATAGCTCCTTTAAGATGATGATGGCCTGAGTGTTCCTCCTCGGATGTCTTCATGTAAATGTGATTTCTTTGTTTGGAGACTGATGGATGTCAGTAAAGTTTTTCAGTCTTGCACCATGAAAATGGAGGCCTCATACTGGGGAAGGTTATATGAATAACTTTCATGAAAAAAAATGTTCAGGATTCAACCCTAAGCCCTGGTGGCTGACATGTCTCAGATCTAATCAGCTGTTGCTCTAATTTAGATTTTCATTTTGCCAAGCTAAACTCCAGGCTTCATAACGTCTTGTGTTTTTCTACAGTCTTTGGTTATACTGGCTCCTGTGCATCGTCTAATTGAGATCGATTCAGTTGATGGAAATTACTGAGTTTTGCTACACAGAGGGGTCCTTGTTCCAAAACCCCTGAATCTCATTGAAGAACCAGGTACCAGTGTTTGTGGTTCTAAGTGTTCTAACTAAGTCCCTCCCTGTGTCCACAGGATCTCGCACTCACTCGCGGCTGCGTCTTTTTCCCAGCGTCCAGTGGAAACATTTCAGGAGTGAATCCATGTTTGCAGCTCGTTCAGAATCTTCGAGGCTGTGCTTGAATATGACACTGTGCCTCTAATCTGCTCTGTCATCACTCATTTTAAATGTCACTACAGCTGCTGTCATTAACTGATATCTGAGCACCCAACCTCGTTGGTGGTGCGACCGCTGGTTAACATACTTTATTTATGAGCTGTGATCATATTCCACACTAGTTCTGACATCTAACAACAGAAACAGAACTATTCTTTGTTTCTTATTCTATTTCTCTCTTACTAATTACAAACAAGAACTAGCTTTGCTGTATGTGTGTTAAAATAAAGTCAAAAATGAGAACCACAGGTCAGAGATCTATTGGACCCACAGACACTGGCTAGACTGGCAGCAGATTTTCTCCTGCAGCCGCGACAGAGCCGCAACATGAAGCACACGCTCACTGTGGCCTGGCATCAGTCTTGTACAGACAGACAGACACTGCTGCTCTGTCACTGCTGAGTTTATGGTACGGAGGCAGAGAATGAGCTCCATTTGATATGCCTGGCAGACACGCCTGTTGGACAAAGAGCCAATCCTTTTTCTCTCATGTATCCTGAGCCCGTCGTTGCTCTGTAATTGCTTCGCCAGATAATATGTGCGAACGGCACCGGATGCCATGATCCTGTATGCATATACAGGATTCACTGCCTTCTGCTGATCACAAATAACACACAGGCCTGCGCCGGAGAGGAGGAGGGGCAGATAAGAAATACATTTAACAGTGTGAAGTGGGAGCAAAATTAATCCTTCTGACATTCTCTTAACATGTATGGGTATGCTCACTGCTCTTCACCCTGCATGCTGATGGCCTGCTTCTTTTCATGTGTAAATAATTCTGGTCTGGAGGTGTTCTGAGGACTGGGATACGACCAGAAAAGCACCAAATGTAAGACCTGCTGAAAGGGGAACAAGTGCTAGTGGAAATAAACAGTAGGAGGGTTACCAAGGCAGGGTGCTTTCACTGCGTTACCTTTTAATGATCGTGCTAAATCAAAAGCTAGTCAGCTAACCTCACAGCTACAAATGTTAATCAATGCCTTTAGCAGTTAAATAAGCAGGAACCACTTTGCTGTTACTTCCTGGTGTCTGGTGTCATGAGTATGCCATGTTAAGAGGAAAAATATCAGCATATACAGATGAGTTCTGAATCAAAATGAAAAGCTGTCATTGTTCAGGAAGCTCCATATGTGGACCATTCTTCCCCTCATCTGTTTTAATGCTGGTGGTGGAGAGAGTGCTGTTTGACATGTTGCTGCAAAGTCTCCCATAGGTGTCCAGCTGGACTGCGATCTGAAGGCCACAGCGTGTGATTTGCATCGTCATCCTCATCAAATCATTCACGAATGTGACGCGTGCACGACGTGAGGAGTGATGAAGAATCATTGAGTACATTTATTATCAGGCTTTGACAACAGGCATTTAGGAATTTAATAGTCTGCAGGGTTTCGCTGTGGCGTTCATATCACCGGAGATCACCTGTCAATAAACCAGTCTGAGAAGATCCATGGCATCCTGGATACTCTGTTCATCAAGCCAAGGTTTCTGCAGGGGGCGCACTTCCTGTCTGCTCGATCATGGCTACTTATTTACGTTGTTCTCTCCACAGAAAAACAAAGTTACTTACCATGATGCATTGCACCAACTAAGTAAACTTTTCATTCACAAGAGCTAATTTCAAACTAGTGATGTATTTGTAAATGTGGTTCCACCAATAAGCTTTAAAGTGATAGTTGGGGTTATTTGACGTGGGGCTGTGTGAGGTACTTATCTATGGTAGAGCTAAGTATAGGTACGCTTACGAGTAGGAGTACGGTAGTTCAAATGTTCACAAAATTTAGTTCCAAAGGAAAGAGCTGTTTTGATGGAAGATAAATCAGTGAAAATATTTAAAATAAAGTGTACACGTAAATTGATATTATTTTCTTTATGTTGGCGTTTCCTTTTTAAAGTGGCTAAAAAGCTAAAGTGGCTTTTGTGGATGACTCAGCTTCTGTACTGGAGCTCCTGCTGCTTCTCTAAACTGGCAGCGTGCCGATCTGAATCTACTGCAGGTAACACACTGACTGTAGATAAGTACCTCACACAACCCCACGTCAAGTAACTCGATAAATACAGCACAGTTCATATATTTCTCTGTTCATGTATGAAGTAATTAAATATGTTTGGAGAGATATGGAAATATCTGATTATGCTTCCTAACTGACCGTGTATAGTCTAACATCGCTAATATTACTTTTGTAATTTGAAGTATTTAATATTACTTTTTTATGTATTGAGTTTGTAGGTTTATAAAAACATTGCTATACCTTCAATAGCATAACACTCAGTCTAGGAAACCACAGTCTCCAGATTATACATACCAATTATAAAACATGAAACATGAAATAAGAAAACAAAAAAAACTGCAATAAATTAGTAAATCAGTCCATAGGACAGTACACCATAATCATAGTGTTTCCATTTTGTATCATTATTAAAGAATATTTCCATCAGTGTCAGTTCAGATATTCCATTTCTTAACTTGCACAGTGCACGGCTGCAGTGACAGCTTGCTTCCCCCCTGAATAAATAAAGCCTTGTCAGCTCCACCATTATTAGGTGTAGATATTAATAACAGCTAACCTCTGCCCAAGAACTTGTGGTTATGGTGCAACCTGTTTTTAATTTAGTGATGCGTAAATCTCCACTTTATAATAACAACGCACATTATAACTGGGCTATATTTAAACTTACAAACAGCTGGTGCAACCGGCTCCAGGACAGTAAATCTGACCTGAGCTCCATCTTATCAGTGTATATTACCATACCGTTAATGCTTACTTTTTTAGCGCTATAGGTTGGGACGCTAACCAGGCAAGACAGTGTGTGTTTGCAGACTGTGTGAATCCTAATGTCAGCATTAAGATAAGTGGGAGCGATTCATTGTATGTCACAATGTATGACAGTACGGTGAGGTGTAAAAGCTGCCTGGAGGCAAGTGTCACTGATAGGTCCATAATTACTATTAGACAGAGGGAGAGAGAGAGAGAGAGACAGATAGATAGATAGACAGAGAACTGCAGAGAGAGTGAGAGGTAGTGGAGGACTACAAGAGAAAAAGGAGGCCAGGGGACAAATACAGTCAGCTAGAAAGTGTGTGTGTGTGTGTGTGTGTGTGTGTGTGTGAGTCGAGTGTGTTCGTGAATGCATGGTTACGGTGCACTTACCTTGGAGCCTCGCTCGTTAAAAATAATCTCCACGTCTAAAATCTTGCCAAATTGCTGTGGAAGACAGGGAGGGAAAAAGGAGGGCAGGAGGAGGATGAGGAGAAAAGCAGAAAGAGGAAGGCAATAATTAGAACAGGGTGACCTGCACTGTTCGGTACTACTCTAATATATATATATATATATATATATATACATACAGTATATATACATACATACTCAAACTTAAAAAACACTACAAGGCTCCACACTTGAACACTCTCCCCCTCACTGCTAAAAAGGTCAAGCAGTCAATGCTCTGAATTAACAAACTCCTCTTCACCCCACAATGAGATTAATAAAATATCCATTTACTCTTAATGCTGTTTAATGCTGTGTTTGCTCTGTTGTGGTAATAAAGAGGTTGTGTGTGTGCGTGTGTGTATTGGGGACTAGGGCTATGCAGTGTTAATGAACATTACGATGGTGGATGCAGACGCTATAAGAAGTGCAATGCCTCAGCATGCACCACTGATCTTAATGATGCCCATCATCTCGCTTTTCCTCTCCCCTCTCACAAGAACATACGAGGAAAAACGAGAGCAGGAATATTTCTAGTGGAGGGAGAGGGTCTTCTCGTTTAGAGCAGGAAATGGGGTGTGGGAGGCAGGGGTGAGAGAGAGTTAAGGGACAACCCATGATAAACCATAGGTTTGTTTATCTGCTCCCAGTGTAGACCATCATAGTAATTACCTGCCAAAGCCCTCTCTCTCCAGTCTGAGAATGCATGTCGCGCCTATAGGTTCTCCTCTGATTTAGCTCTTAATGCTCTTAATTGGCTCCATGTTTCACTTTAACTGGCTAATTACGCAGAGTGGTGCTAGTGACCACGCCTCCCAGCACAGTAAAGCTGGTGGTGAATGTATGGCTGTCATATATTGTGGGTTTAAACAGGATGAGACTTTGGCCTTATGGCTTTTAAACATGGGAAGGGAAAGGGAAAACCTTTGTTTTTAGCCTCATTGTGGGTCTGAATGTCCAGTAGAGATGTAGAAATACAAGGAAACAAGGATCAGACCTGTGCAGAGGTCACTCCTTAACAACAGCTACAGTATATTCTCTTTAGATGTTGTGTATTCTTTTTTTTTTTATATCAGGTATACCTACTGTTGTATTTTACTGTAACACTTCAAAGAAGCCCAACATGGAGCAACTAGATCTTTTTTATCCACTGCTGATCTGCAAACAGCCTTTATCTCTTGACTATTGCAACACACTTTACTCAGGTATGAGCCAGGGCTCCAGCCCCGTCTGCAGCTGGTTCTAAACGCTGCTGCTCGTTTTATTAGAGGTATGATCACATCGCCCTGTACTTACTGGCTCCCTGTTAGATTTAGAACTGATTTCAAAATTTTAACTGCTCACCTTTAAGGCCTTACGTACCTTAAGGTCCTGTCTGATTTACTGACCTGTGGCCAGATGCTGTGTAGATTCATGACTAATATTATGTGTACACGCAAAACCAGAAGTATGCATATGCATTCTCGCCGTCACAAATATAAAGGGTGCGTACACGCTCCGCTTTCTAAATGTCACTCATTGAGAAATTGGGTGCACATGCACGAGCCTCATTTCCACAATTAGCCATAAATGGATGAAGGCGCTCCCTTGATCGGTTTGCATTAAACCCTGTCTCCACCACAAGTGATCAGACATGGCACAGAAGACAAAGATGAGAAAGAAGTGCACTTTCCCCGATTGTGAAATTGAGGCACGTGTTGGAGAAAACGTATTACTTGGTGGTCTCAGTTCTGTGTTGACAAACAGGCACGAACATAGGTACAGCACATTTTGAAATGGTGTTTTAAAACAAAAATGACTTCTGTCCAGACGACCGTTTTTACTCAGTATCAGAAATAACCTCCGTACAGACTAACACCTGAAAACACGTATCACATGACCATTCACATACAGTGAGCATGTGTGAGCCGCTGTAAACAGGAAGGAGGTTGTTTACTCTGCAGCTGGTTAGTTGCAGAAATAATGATAATGTAGCCTCAGCGTGTGACAAAGGGTGACCAGACTTTTGCTATTAGAACCCCCCCCCCCGCTGTAAAAGTTAGACACACCAATTCCTTTGCTTCTTTTAAATCCCTTTCTAGAACTTTACATTTTATGAATGCAATTGGAAATGTTTGATATAGATTGTTATTTATACATATTATTCCTGATTATTTCATCTTATTCCTTTGTATTGAGTGGATCCCAGGAAGAGTAGTTGCTACCTTGGTACTGGCTAATGGAGATCCAAATAAATAAATAAAATAAATATTGTTTTTACGTCTTCTGTGTCTTGCTCCTATTTTTTATTTTATTTGCCTTCTCTGGTTTTGTTTCTTTTGTAAAGCACTTTGTAACTTTGTTGAGAAAGTTCATCATTATTATATTGTTATTTTCATCAGTCCCAGTGGTGCTGTGGAGCGTCGAGCTGCTTCTTTGGCAAACTTTGGCTCACAGTGCTCCCCTGCCATGGACCTCGCTCCATGCTGTGCGCGGTCGACTCATGAACAGAGATGTTGACCGGCTCCAGTGATTCCTTTAAGCCTTCATCCGCTGCTCTGAGCTCCTTCGTCACCTCAGTGAGCTTGCAGTGTTGTGCCTTTGGAGTCATCTTAGCAGAACTAAATCATCTCCATCTACAGACAGTTTGTCTTTGAGATGACCAGAGGTGGACAAAGTACACGACTTCCTAAATTACTTGAGTCAGAGTATAGATCCTCCTGGTCAAATATGACTCCAATACAAGTGAAAGTTGTTCAGTCAAATGTTCACTTGAGTTAAGGTGCTGGAGTATTTGATTTCAATAAATACATTACATTTTTCATGTCAACTCATTGTTGTATTGTTCCATTGTTAGAACTTAGAACTTACTTAGTGTAGAACTTGTAGAATGAAAGAGTGTAGGATATGATACAAAACCTCTAGAACTAGTCATAAAAACACAACAACAAAACAACAACACAACAGCAAAAAGAGCTATTGTAGTTTAGTATTTCTTTGTTTTTAGTCAGTGATGAAGTTTCTTTCTTTATTTGTAAACCTTCAAACACAGACTTCAGATCAGACCCTGGTCTCTGGTGAAGAATCTTCTGCCTCATCTTTATCTAACGCAGCATCATTAGGACACTGACAGGTTCAAACTGAGCTGTTCAAACATGCAGCAGCACAACATGACTGACAGCGGAGGAGTTGACTGTGATTGGTTTTTCTCCCGTGATGAACACAGTGTATGGTCTATCACATTTTTCAAAATAAAAGAAAATCTCTGCTTCAAAGTAAGAGTACTTCATAGAAATGTAGTGGAGTCAAAAGTACATTATTTGATTTTAAGTGGAGTGGAGTAAAAGTCAGAAGTTTAAAAAAAAAAAAAACTCAAGTAAAGAACAGACACTTGAAAATAGACTGAGGCACAGTGCTCAAGTAAATGTGCTTTGCTACTGTCCTCCCCTGGAGATGACTCTGTCTTTGAGCTTCATACATATCAACAGTCCTTGATCCTCAGTCTTCTGAGATCTGTTTTTGAGGCCTGGTTCACATCAGCTGATGTTTCTTGCGAGCAGAAAACTCAAATGTTTGAGTGTTTTTTATAAGTTAAAGTGTCTCTGACCCACAGCTCCAGTCTGTTTCATTGACTGGACTCCAGGTCTGATAACTCCTGACTCCAGTTAGCTTCTGTTGACGTCATTAGCCGAGGGGTGCTGTGAATGGACTGAGTGATGTTTTCAAAATGACACAACAACACCATTACTTGTGTTATTCACTAAAGTGAATGTATTTCTACATAATGAAGATCTGATCTTGAGAGAATCCCAAAGTGTTCATTTACTTTATTTTTTCTTGCCACTGTTTACAAATCACCTCAACGAATATAAATACTGCCAGACCTGAATTACACTTTCAAAACCTTTTAGTGTTCATACAACGTCTGTCTGAAAGTAAGAGTCTGATTCCTCTGATGAAATACACGCGTCCTAAATAGTGTGAGGTCAGACTACGAGATGAAGCCTAAACTACAGCGGCGAGGAGGGCAAGATGAGGACACACACACACACACACACACACACACACACACACACACACACACACTGATATTAACAGTTTAACGCCTCTGAATAAATACAACTGCTGTTTTAAATAATGTATGTGCATGTGTTCTCCTCCTGATCTCCTCCTTTCATCCTCTGTTTCCAATGTCACTTTCAGATGGTCGACTTCATCTTCATCTGCCGTTAGAGTTTGCTCTTTTTCATTTCTTTATTATTACAATTATGTTTTTTTTGTGTGTTTGTTTGTTTTAGAAAAGAGAAAATGAAAATTAACCTTCTCCTTTCTATTTTTAATATCGTTCCTTCCTTCCTTTCCTTTGTTTCTAGAAGGAAACACTCAGAAAGACATATTTGAAATGTATCTAATTTCCAAATTAATTAATATCAGTGTAAAATAAACTTCCCTGAGCGCTCAGAGACCTGGATCAGTGGACTCTGTGCTGCAGGAGCAGCTGGGATGAACTCATGACTACGTGAACTAACCTTGCCAGACAGTATGGTAATGCTCAGCCTTGTGCTCCCCCCATAACTAGACCTTGAATCAAGTAGTTTATTTCAATAAATAAATAAACATGGAGCAGGCAGCAGAGCAAAGGCAAGGTCACAGCCCCAGCATCAGCCCTGAAGATGAAGGAAGTCCGCCAGCAAAGCACGCGTCAGAACATACACATGATCTGCGTATACATACTGGATGTGTTACACGTGTATGTCGCAGGACGACACACACGGTCTGTTGGTGTGTTTTAGCTGATTACGCGGACAGGCTGTTCAGAAGAGGAACATTTAAGAAAGATTGTCGCTGATTTCATTACATTAAAAGAGAAAAAGGCTGAAATAGAACTTTTTAAAGAAAAAAAAAAACATTTGAATTGATAGGCTTGTTTCTTTGCTGTTTTTTTCTGTGTGCGTGTGTGTGTGTGTGTGTGTGTTAGAGGTCGGGGCTGCAGACGACACGGATCAGAGCTCTCTTTC